ACACGAGCATGCATAAACACACGCGCGCACGCACCCACGAGCACGCATAAACACACGCGCGCACACACACACGCGCGCACGCACCCACGAGCACGCATAAACACACGCGCGCACACACACGCGCGCGCGCACGCACCCACGAGCACGCATAAACACACGCGCGCACACACACACACGCGCGCGCACACACACACGAGCATGCATAAACACACGCGCGCACTCAAGCGCACCATATAAAGTTCCAATTTTACGATATAGACAAACACCTCGAGTGATGTCATGCGACACTCTCCCTAACGAAATCATCGACTTCAAATTTATCGAACTAACATAAAATCTCACACGTACACCCAAATTAAAGCACTTCGCGTGCAGTACTAGACGAAACAGGTTGCTCGGAACACGCCCCCTAGCTTGTTAAGATGTCTATGCTCCCTCGCTACACGTCCATACACAGGCTTGGCGTCAGGTGAATACTTCAGTAAACCATCTTTTCAAGCTATAGAAGAGGAAAGGGTGGGCTGAGACGTGTGGCATTATCGCTGTCTGTGCAGCAATCCAAACGGAAATCCTCTTAACGAATATTGAGTCTCGGTAGTGTTCGCAGTATTCGGCAATAATCGGAAGCGTTCGGCAGCAGTCGGCAGTGTTTAGTGAGCAGTAGGCAGTATTCAGTAGTGCTCGTGAACCTTTACATGCGATTTCGGGTCATAAACTCGGATGCACTTCAGCTCACCTCGCTCCTAACTGCGTGTTAGGTAAGGCGGAAGGATGAGTGGGTGGTGGGTGGGGGATAATAGGCGGAATAATAACCACCGTGTAGGTGGTTGCAATACGACCCGTGCTAAACAGGATAATTCTGAAAGCAACAACAAAAAAATTTCATTCGTCGGCAGCCGATAAATTTCAGCTTCTCATTTTTTTTACAAGATTTATCCTTTAGCAGCTGCACAGAGACAGTAGGCTAGCAGCTGCACAGAGACAGTAGGCTAGCAGCAGCACGATTAGATTTGCTGGCAGTATCACAGATATCTTCTTACACATTCACCACAGAGACACTATTAGGTCTGCTCTCTCTCGCTCTCTCTTTCTCTCTTCCTCCATATCACCCTCTCTTCCTCCATCTCTCCCCTTCTCTCTGCTCTCGCTCTACCCTTCTCTCCCTCCCTCCACCTCTCTGCTCTCGTATATATAATAGATAATATTTCATAATAAAATATACTACACACCCTTGTACTCTTCCCCCTTTCCTTTATCACTTACCTCGCAATCGGTGACGTCATCACGCGACCACTAATAGTCGATGCTGTTCACTTAATTGTCATTGCGGAAATAGTTTCAATGAGAAAACGCATATAAATCGCTCGCACGGAGGGTTAATTCTCTAAGAAAAACTAGAATTAAAGGTCTTTAGCAGCGGCGGCAGACTACAAAGAGCGCAGATAATGACGTATTTTCACGAACACCGAGAAACACGTTGGATTACAGCATGTACGTAGCGGCGTGCGGCGTGCAGATCATTAAAACTTTCACTTCAAACTTCAACGAGGAATACTGCTAATAATTTATATTCTATAAACACACACACACACGCACACGCAGGCGCACGCACGCACGCACGCACACGCACGCACGCACGCACACGCACGCACGCACGCACACACACGCACACGCGCACACGCACACGCACACGCACACGCACACGCACACGCACACGCACACGCACACGCACACGCACACACACACACACACACACACGCACACACACATTGCATAACAGTCACATCATAAGTCTAGAATGTCGTAATATAACACTTGCACGACGCTTCCCTTTAAAAGTTAGCGATGCCAGTGTGGTGACGCAGCGACTAAACCAAACGTCAGAAGCGTTTCTAATATTCTGCAGCGACGTGGATGAACCGCGCATCTATGGATGTTCGGAGGAGTGGGAGGGGTGAAGTGGGAGGAGGAGAAGGAGGGGGCAAAGGGAGAAAGGGCAAAGGGAGGAAAGAATAGGGGATAAGGGGGAGGTAGAGGAGGGGCAACAGGAGGAGGGGCAGGGGAGGTGGGCATTGGAGAGGAAGGGAAAGGGAGAGGGAGAGGGGAGGAGTAGGAGCAGGCGGAGAGAGGTAGGAAGGTCTGAGGTAAGATGATGAATCAATGATAACGATGCGCGGCGCACGTACGGAATGACTCATCAGCTGTACACACGCAGACGGTAAACATTGAGATGCGGAGAAAAAAAGGAGGGGTAGAGATGGAGAAAGAGAGAAAGAGAGAGATCATTTTTGTTCGTTGTTCTTTGCTACCAAGATATATAAAAGGAGGGGGTGAAAAACAGGCGGGGGTATGGGGGTCCTCGCCCAAAAATTGTTTAAAATGTTGATTGTAGGAGATGGTATTTGAGACACTTTTGAGTACATGCACAGCCTTCATTCTGACTAGGACAATTCTCTTTTTAGTAGAACAATTCTTGTTTTTTTAAATTTTGTATTTTAACTTTCGGATCAACAGGGGGGGGGCATGGCCCCCTTTGGCCTCCCCCTAACTACGCCACTGTGTCTCCTCTCGCTCTCCCCTCACACCTCTGCCTTCTCTAACTGCCCGAGATATTGTACAGAGCGGAGAAAGAAACCGAACGGACACGAAGACTCACGCGAGTCATTCGATGTTTACTCGTCGCCGATGATTTAACTCAACATTTATGAGATTTGCTCTTCTCATTCGACACCACTCCCACGAGCCTTCGCCGCGATTATCTCACGTCCATCCGTCTCGCCCTTCTGAAGAACGAGTTACACACCGACGAAATTCCTTGGCAAAAAATTACATCCGCCAAGAAAATACTCCCATCGCGCGGGGTTTCTCTTCAGCTCTTCTTTTCATTACAATTCCCTTTCAGACGAATCTGTATCGTAGATGAAAGATGTCACTGACTCTAAAGTCACTCGGTGTATTATTATCTATGTATGACGGAGTTGGCTCGCCGAGACTGCCTCGTCCGCAGACTTTGCTCTCGCGCGACTGCAAATATGAATCGGCGAACAAGATCAACATCATCGCAATCTCCTTGACGATGGCGGCGTCTGCGGTTACGATGACGACCGCTCGACGCTTTGTTGAACTTTCTAAATTAATTGATAGGTTTGTGTCGTCCGCAGCGCCATCGCGAGATCACGCGAGACTGTGCGCCCGGGCTCGGCGAAAAAAAATTATATTCGTGATAGAGACTAATTGTGTTGGGAGCGGCACCTGTGAACCTAAGCCTGCTGAGAATTCACAGGTGGGGAGAGACCTGCGCGCGACCCTGCGATTTTAGTACTTAAATTAGCAGTTAGTACTTAAGTACCAGCTTAGTACTTAAGTAAATACTTAGTACTTGAGTAAGTACTCAGTACTTAATTAAGTACTTAGCACTTTAGTTAACCGAGCGATATCATTCGTGAAAACGAAGACCGATATTTGTTGCACGCAACGCACACACACACACACACACACACACACACACACACACACACACACACACACACACACACATCCTCTCTGCTCTCGCTCTGCCCTTCTCTCCCTCTATCCACCTCGCTCTGCCTTTCTCTCCATCCCTCCACCTCTCTCTGCCCTTCTATCCCTTCCTCCACCTCTCTCTGCCCTTCTCTCCCTCCCTCCACCGCTCTCTGCCCTTCTCTCCCTCCCTCCACCGCTCTCTGCCCTTCTCTCCCTCCCGCCACCTCTCTCTGCCCTTCTCTCCCTCCCTCAACCTCTCTCTGCCCTTCTCTCTTTGTCTCAGTCTCTCCCCCTACTCCCTCTAATCAACTTCAGTCTCGACTTATACGGCTTAAAAGCCCGATCACATCCGGTCGGTTTAAACTAATCGCGATAAAGACAATTGAAAATAAATGCTCCTGCGTTTCAGGAGCCCGTTGTCAGAAGCTAAATTAACTTTTTCTCTTAGACCGTCGACAGAAACGCTGCGAAGTTACCTGAATGGAAAATCGTAGCAGATTTCCTCATAACAATACGAAACAAAGTGCTGTCGACGGTCTACGAGAAAATGTTAGTGTTACGACTAATGTTAAGACTAATTTTGTTTCTGCCAACGGGCTCCAGAGAAATAGCGGGTAATTCCTTCGCAGCGCCATCTGTTGATCGATTCTAATCACAAAGAAACCGTTATTCGTAGAGCAGCCTGCCGAAGCCGCAGCAGCAGCACAGCCTGCTGAACATAATAGCAAGTAGCAAGCTGTCTTACTCTGCTCTTACAAATAGATGACACAAGAGGTACAAACAAAATAGAAGAACGGGTTGAATTCTGTTCGAGTTTATTTTCACGTAATCACCGGTACTGTAACACAGATGAGCAAAAAAATACTTCTTTTTTAGCTATGCACACACCTTCCCACAACCTACTCACAGCACGTATGCACCCCCCCACCACACACACACACACACATACACACCCATGCACACAAGCACAGACACAGCCACACAAACACACACTACTACCACAATTCCCCTGACATCCCCCAATTATAAACACAGCATGGTGCTAGTACATGATTACCAGCATTAGATGTCACTCATAAAGAAGACACCGTATGACAGCACGGCTTTCACTCGGGAATAAACGTTTAAAAAAATTCCATGGGAAATTACTATTGCAGTATTAATAGAAAAAAAAACCTACTGCTACAGCCGTAATAACATCATCTACAAGTCAGCATGAGAAAACATAAATAATTATGTTCTGCAACTTTCTAGTGTCAGCAAGAAGAGATTCTAAAGCAGATTTTTTTCTAAATATGTAATATCTCATGAATGAAGCAGTAGTCATGCATCTGCACATGTTACTATCTGTTTACGAACCGAATCTGATGATAGTTAACAAGAGGAAAGTGCAAAAGACAGTAACTACATGTGAGATGGGCAGGTGAGAGAAAGAAAAGGGATGGAGCGAGGGAGATAGGGAGAGAGAGAGAAAGAGGAGGGATGGAGCAGGGAAGAGAAGGAGAGAGAGAGAGAAAAGATGGGTGGAGTGGGAGGAAGAGAGAGGAAGAGGAGAGAGAAAAAGGACGAGGTATAAAGAAGGAACGAGATAGAGGTGCACTAACGTTATGCCCAGAGCAGGAGGAAGGCGCGTGAAGAAGACAAAACAGAACGACACCTCGAGCCACGCGCAAGACCACCCCACGCTCACGCCACGTCCTCTACTCAAACTTGACTCCCTGAGCGAGTGGCAGGTCCTTGCCGTAGTTGATCGTGCACGTCGACCGCCGCATGTACTGTTTCCACGCGTCGCTGCCAGACTCACGCCCGCCCCCGGTGTGCTTCTCGCCACCTGCCGACGAAAACAGAAGAGCATCTAGAGCTTCACGACGAGACGACGCGAGCGCGCGCCCACGGCATTTCAACATCAATACCGTGAGCTTTCCGTGTTCGCACGCCTAACGGGTACACGTGTGCATAATTAATTCAGAGTCAATTGTCAAGTAGTTATTGATTTAACAGACAACTGTCCTGTAAGTACATTTGTGTGCACGCATGCGTGAGCGCACTGTGACACATTGACTGTGACATCACGTGAGACACTGATCTGTAAGTGTTCACAAGATTCGTAGAGTCCCGGTTCAGCATATAGCTTGCTAGGTAGTTACTCATGAAAGCATCGCGATACGATACGTATGGATTGTACCGTTCGCTATCCGTGTTGTCCCACCCCTATTTGCGTATGCGCAGTACACACTAACAGTGGTTAGCGTGTGGGGTAGCACGTGCGTGGCACGTACCAGTCTAGCCGCAACACCCAAACCTGTACTAACGAGTGCTACACGCGTGTTTCAGTACACACTGACAACAATGCCCAAAGTCACGCGCACACGACATTACTGCCCCGATGCACTGAGGTACGTTTGTGTAGAGGTGCGCGCACGCGTTAACCACTGTTAGTGCCACCATTGCCGACCCAATTTACGAGTCAATTGTCTAGGTTCATTTGCGTACGGGTGCCCCCGCACATGTAAGACCAGTGCTCAGCACGAACGCGACATTGCCGCCCCCGATTTAAGAGTCAGTAGTCGAGGTAAGCTTGCGGTAAGGGTGCACGTTCGCATAATTAATTAAGAGTCAATTGTTGAGTAATCGTCGATTTAATAGACAATTGTCGAGTAATCGTCGATTTAATAGACAATTGTCGAGCACACACGCGCGCGCGTGAGGCGCATCACGGCCGCATCACTCACCGAAGGCGCCGCCAATCTCCGCGCCGCTCGTCGGGATGTTCACGTTCACCAGGCCGCAGTCAGAGCCCTTCGGTCCGATCCACTTGAAGATGTGGCCGAGGTTTCCCGTGAAGAGACTGCTGGACAGACCGGCGTCCACCTCGTTGTTCCATGATATGGCTTCGTCGATGCCCTGCGCAGACACAGCGACACGTGAATCACGAGGTATAAGCCGCGTTCACACGGCGCGAAACGACCCGGGTCGAAAACGACCCGGGTCGAAAACGACCCATGTCAAATGCGTCCCAAGCGTTCACACGGACGTTTTCTCGGTAAGAAAACGACCCGAGCGCTGGTTAATTTTTGCCGTGTGAACGCGCACCGACACACGACCCGGGTCAGAATGAGTACGGCGGTAGACGTCGCCAGTGTCGAGAGCCAGAGTTTGATTGTTTAATTCGCATTGTTCGCTTCTTCAACGACGCTCCGTGTAGTTTTCGACCCGGGACGAACGCTCTGTGTGAACGCGGCTAATGTGAACGTCTGTCAGGGAATCAAGGAATAGGCACAAACACACGCACGCACACAGACCCGCACGCACCCACACCACGCACGCACACCACGCACGCACGCATACATGCACACACACCACACAGGCACGCACACGCACACGCACACGCACACGCACACGCACACACACACGCACACACACGTACACACCCACTCACCCAACGCGTGCACGTATAAATTCTCTCGTGCATCCACGCATAATTCTCACCGTGGTTTTCAGCACGTATAGGATCGGAGCGAACGTCTCCCTCAGCACGACCTCTGCATTGTGTTTCAACCCCGTCACGATCGTCGGCTCCACGTAGAAACCAGGCCTATCGACGACCTACAACGACAGCAACACTCGCAAAAACCCAGCGCAAACCATCGCGTAGAATCAATCTTGGAGCAAACCCAGCCGGTACAGATTACAACAAAAATCGACTTCTACTACATGGCCCAACGTAATATTTGCCATTACTGCTCGCAGGGTTACCACTCACACACAGGGGGGAGGGGGGAGATGGGTTGCTATTGCCAACACCGATAGAATACGTTAATCATTGCCTATCGCCAAACTTGGCTCAAATTGAAACGCACAGTAGCAGGCTTCCGTGCCTACGCTTGCAACCGCGACGTCTAAGATTCCCACCTTGCCACCAAAGACTACGGTTCCTCCTTGTTGCTTGGCATCAGCGACCGACTTCGTGAAGAGGTCAACACCTTGCTGGGAGTGCAGCGGCCCGTACAGCGTTTTACCTGCGACGAGAACGAGAGAAAATCCCAGCGTACACTCATCACCACGACTACCATCCAAACTACTTGTTGCTTGCAATTTCAAACAGCTAGAGCCACCTGGTGGCTAAAAAAGACAACTATTCGATCATCTTGTCTGACATGCTATGCAAGACCGGCTGACTTACTGTCCAGAGGGTCGCCCATTCTGGCGGGGTAAATTTGTCCGTATGCCTTTGTGACTCGCTTGACGACCTCGTCGTAATATTTCTCATGCACGACCTGTGAAGGTAAACGATGCATGTCACGGGCAGTGCGCGTATACAGACTGGTTTTTACCCTAGGCACAAGATCTGATATAAGCACGAACACACCTATCAGAATCAATCTATCGATCTACTTATCAAGAGAAAATGCAATAAACTTGTCGTATGTCATGAGACGTTATAATGATGTGCCTGACACAGCATTACGTGTATAGAATGTTTTTGGGTTCCTAGGCACAATAACTGAAACAACCTATCAACCCTTCAATCATTCATATTTTCAAACAGTAACAGACAACAGTTATACACCCGATCACTTCAGATATGGCAGTATGGTGCAGAATGATTATTAATACACCAGATTTAATACTTACACTGCACTTATATTTAATCTGCGGTTTGTTATCAACCCCTTACCCTATTTTCGCATTACTCGACATCTTCAATTACCAGAAAAGCTACATGTTAGATAATCGGGACTCGACGTCTGTATCTACACATTTACCTACCGGTCTCTCGCGATCAGTAACGCGTGGACTACCAGGCTTCGCCGTCTGAGAAAACCACGGGGCCTAAAAAAAGCTGTTTTTCTCTAGACGGGGATGATTTGTTTAAACTGATGAATCATGTAATAAACGCTTTGAAATCACAAAATTTGACGGGGCCGGAAAAAAGCCCCGTGGACACCGGAGACAGGGCTGTTTACAGAGGTTTGAGCCGATTGGCCGCGTGAAAAGGCGAAGCCTGGACTACGTACGAGACGACGCGCGGTGGTGCAGCGTTGTCCGGCCGTGCCGATCGCAGCGAACGTCACCGCAGGGACGACCATGTCCAAGTCTGCGTCCTCGAGAACTAAACGAAAACGGCAAGCAATGTACGTGTGACGCGGTGACACGCAGACGACACGGTGATACTCAGGTGACGCGATGACGCGCAGATGACACGGTGATACTCAGGTGACGCGATGACGCGCAAATGACACGGTGATACTCAGGTGACGCGGGACGGCATGCTAGCTCACGGGTTCCTGCTAACGAGACTCGCCTGAACAGAGATTAATTACGTACATTTGAATTTGAATTATATGCAAATATAATTTTACATAGTGTATAATTAATACATACAATAATAATTTTTTTTATTTTACGTAAAATAAATCTGAAAAACCAATGTGGTTACGACTTTATTATATACTCTGGAGCAACAACTAATTAAGAAAGTGGTCAACATGGTGATTCTATGAGGATGTAGAATATGTAGAGCAGGTATGCTATGTAGGATAGCAGAATGTATGAGCCTCACGTTGGCGACCACCTGTTGATGCAGCTTCCAACACGAACCCACATGATATATGCAAGAAATCCATATTAGAAAAAGAATGCTGAATGCATCGTGAACAAAGTCAACTCTCAATTTAAAACTTGCAGCCAACTAACCGTCGTAAATAGATGCCAGATTATACAACGTTTCACAACAATGCGCAACAATGCGCAACAAACGAGTCAGTCCTGTCTACGTAGAACTACGTAGCCTGCACACTCACCGATGACAGCATTGTTTCCACCCAACTCCAGCAAGCATTTACCAAACCGCTCCTGTACGGTCAGTGCCACCTTCTTCCCCACCTGTATTAGAAGATCGTGAAGAATGTGCTACAGCGTGTTACGCGGCGACTCTCGGCCGATTCGCGGTTAATTCGCGGTGCGTTTACATCAGCGTGTCGTGATAAACCCGTGAATCACATACACTACTCTACGGTGAAAAACCTCATTGCCACGGTTAACGTGATGGATAGTGCAAGAGAGGATGACTTACCGCGGTGCTTCCGGTGAAGGAAACCAGCTTGAGTCGCTCATCCTTCGCCATCGCATTCCTGCGAAAATACGTCAACAAAACTCCTGAATTTCTGTTCAGCGAAATGAAAGCAGCACAAGCAATCGCGTCGACGACGCCAAAGCAACATGACCCTCCTGCATAAAAGTACATCTGAGCACAAACCCCTCCAAAGTCAAATCCTCCCTATCTCACATAATAATTGTATTAGATTTGTCATTAGTGGGGAGACACATGGTGACAGTCAAGGTCTCAAAGGCATTAGATTTCAATAAACATTTTTTTAAACTACCAGGCCCACTTTATCAGTAAAAGCATCAGGGGATATAAGACGAGCTCCACATAGCCTCACGTTGAGCAGCCGCGGGTTGCAGGACAGAGATGCGACAAACAAGCAAAGGTACACGGTCGGTTCCGGGTGTCACTTTCCCCCGGGCGTAGAGGGAGGGTACCGCTACGTGGCAGCACTAGTCACTTCGTACACTTCCGTCATTCCACAGTCATACTTCCATGCTAGACATGGCCTTATTTCCCTAACCCTAATCCTAACACTAGTGCTGCCACGTAGCGGCACCCTCCCTCTACGCCCGGGGGAAAGCGACACCAGTCGGTTCCCTGTGTTCTATTAGGAAAAAACCCCGGCAAAGCTAGCTCGCGTCTACTCACCCGATTTCCGCCCCGCCGCACACCATGGAGCATATCGCACCGGGAAGGGCGTTCTTCTCTAAAACCGATGAAATGATTCTGAAACGAAATCGAAAGCGAAAAAGTCACGCATCTATCTTTTGCGCATCTTTGCAAACTCTACAAACCATCGTAGAACCCATAGCACCCATCACGATAAATAGATTCTGTCACTGATTGCTCGTTATCCTACATCAATCCAGGGGTCGACAGTGCACCTAATTACTAGAGACAATTAAGCTCTCACTTACAATTAAGCCACAATTGCAACCTCAGGATGCAAGACCCACCGTATACGAGTCGACATTACAATATTGCCAACCAAGTGTCTTTTTCTTTTTTTTCGTCAAAAAAAGCACCGGACACAGCGACCACCTCATTCGTTCATAGCAATGGCGCAGCACTACGCGATCTTCAAACCACACCCTATCGAAACCACTCTGCAAAAATCGCGATTTTTCCCCCGTCCTCCTCCTCCCTCCCAAAGAACGCGGCAGACGGAACATCAGACTACGATGCAAGGTCTGCAAGGTAACCGTGAGAAGACTCGGAGCATAAGAAGGAGCGCAGACCTGGTCACGGCGATGCTGACGAGCGGGGTCGTCGGCGCGCCCTTCCACACGACCGTGTTGCCGCAGACGAGCGCGATCGCATTGTTCCAGCCGTAGACGGCGACGGGAAAGTTGAACGCCGAGATGACGCCGATGGCGCCGAGCGGGTTCCACATCTCGACCAGTGCGTGGTTCGCACCTGAAACACGCGAGTGGTGAGACAATGATGAAGGAGGATGTGACTCGACCCCGCCGCTGTCTCGCCTGTCGACGCGCACGCGAGTCGGCGCTCGCGTCAAGGCACGTGACAATGAGCGTGAATGCTTTATGTTACAGGAAAGGATGATTATGTACTAGTGCCTGCTTCAGTATAGAAAGACATGAAGACAAAAAAAAAGAAGTTGAAGAGGATGAAAACGAAAATGAACAAGAAGAAAATGAATCAGAAGATGAAAAAAAAAGAAGAAAATACAAAGAAGAAGAAGAAGAATCAGAAGAACCACAAGAAGATAAAAAGAAAAACAAAACAAATTAGAAGAGGAATAATAAGAAGAAAACCTACGTTCTGAAGGAATGACTTTTCCGGAGAACATGCGCGACAGACCGACGGCGTAGTCGCAGATGTCGATGTACTCCTGTACCTCGCCGCCACCCTCCGACGCAACCTTGCCCATCTCCAGCGATTCCTGCCAGTCAAAAATCACATTTCATGCTAGACTTCACCATCTAGACACATCGCCACGACTTTCACACATATATCCTGTGTAAAAGGATCACAAATTCTCCTGTGGCAAAGTTGTGTTCGTTGGCCTTCAATTAAGGGCGTCTAACAATTCAGTGTTGTCAACAACCGTAAAACTGCAGACAACAGCTGCTTACCAGGTTTCCAAGCAGGGTTTTCTTCTCTCGCAACGCATCCCCTATCTGTCGCACTATCTCCCCACGGTGCGGCGCTGGTATCTAAAACGTACAAGAGACACTGCTGAGACACTGACACACTGCTAAATTACGTATCAGCGTCTCTCTGACGTAAACTTAACCTAATACTTACCTACCTTAATATAGTTATCGTACTGAATACAATATTCAATATTGTATAAATTTGTGAACAAAAGGTTAGTTGAATAGCAGCGACTTTACATTATATCGCACGTAATTACTTTTATAGTATATTTAATACTTTTTAGGGATGATCACAAGTGCCCTGGATGCTTTGTAACAACAAGACAATGACATCAAATTATCACCATCAAGACACAGACAAGAGACACAAATGTTTGAAATGAGCGTAAACAGTTCATCAACAACGTTTTCTAATCAGCAAAAAATCCGAGTTACTTTATTGCTCGTGTGCAAAATAGTACAAGTTTAAAGGTAGCTTCCCTCAAACTTTCCACGTAAATTGTTGCAACAAACCACTGTAAAAACGTAAGTAAATAACTCACTACACTTTAACTGAACGTTAGCTTTGAAAATAAAACTGTAAAAATATGAATCAAGCCTATATTTGCTCAACGAAGAAACAACTCGAAAAACGCTTTTCGCCGCGGTTCCGTATAATGGCGCCATATTGTTTATAAATTATATTTGAGCAACCATCATTTCAATCGAGTCAATTAATGTAGCCACTTTCAGATGTCATAACTTATAATATAAATCATTTTATGAAATCAAACTTTGTAGGTTAGACAGAAAAGCACCTCGACTGTTTATGTTATTAATTTCAGAATTTTTACCATAACTGTTTTCGAGATAGAACGTGCTAAAAGCCCAACAAAACATAATCCGAACTAACAGCGACCTGACAGGACTCTCTCGACTCACTCACTCATTTAACTCGCTCAGAATACTATAATCTCCCAGCAACAAAAACGTTGCTCTTTCCCTATCAGCTAGCCATGTACGTGACCAGAAAAACCATTGGGTCATAACATGCCAGTGTGTATAATTTTACACAACATTCTTCATAACACGGCCAGTGCGCAGAGCGAAACAATCGAAATCGCTGGGAAACATACGACCCGAACGTTTCACTTTGTAGTCTAAAAGCTTCGAATCAACGTATTCCTGAGAATTTTTTTTTACTTATCACACATATATAGGCAAGTACAAACGTGCAATGTTAAAATAATTAATTTTTGCCTGATTTTATGTTTGCCGCTTGAAAGTTCGAGGGAAGCTACCTTTAAATACACTAAATTAACACACTGCTTTTTCATGAGTTACACATGAAATTTTCCCAATTTTCTGCTACAGACGTGCACCAGCTACAACATTACGCACGTCAGCCCATTGCTTCCAAGCTTCTGTTGCTGCATTTGCTGCATCGTTATAGTCTGCAACACTGCCCTGCAAAACACAAGAGACACATATATGTAAGCAAGATCAAAACTTTATACTATGTCATTCCATTTTATCTGTTATACTTCTCAACTTATGAATACTTGTTATGTTATATTACTTTCTCAACTTATGATAACTTGTTTTTAGTTTATGCATCTACTTGCCTGTGTGACTTTGGCAATAGCTTCTCCATTGGCAGGACAGAATGATGTTGTGACCTAAAACAGGAAACACAGTACAACCAGGGTTCGTCAACGGCAGTAGTCAAATAGTCCTAGCCTACTTGATTAGGAGTATAACAAGATATCAAAGGAAGTGTTGATTAATAATGCTTGTCAAGTGAAATTCACATAAATGCTAAGAATGACAATGTTCACTGTAAAGTGACCTCGATGTCTAAACACAGATGTAGTTTGCATGCAATAACACTAACAGAGCATGTATATCACTTATATTAAAATACGGGGCAAAGAAATAAGTTATGAGATAGAGGGGATCTTCTTTAAAGGTCTAATAAGTGGAGGAGAATGCTAAGTAGGGTTGTATAAGATGGGTAAGTTTGGTGGTAGAAGCAATATAAAAGGAAGAGGATATAGTGGGTTGACACCGGGTAAGAATAGTAGTGGTAGAAAGAGGAGAGGTGATAAATAAGTGGTAGGGGGAAAGAGAGGTGTGCCATATAGGAAATGGAAGAAAGCAAAGGTAAAAGAAGTGGAGGAAAAGAAGGAGGAAAGCTAAGAAGGTGAGGAATGGAAGTGGCATTTGGAGAAAATGAGAAGGGCCGGGCAAGGAGAACATGGAGGCGGATGAAGCTTGGTGGCCAAGTAGTGAAAACGTATAGGGCGAGTTGGAGAGAACGGAGGTAATGCCAGCCCAGGACGGGTGAATGAAAATGAGGTTGGGATGTAGACTATTCAAAGAGGAAGATACGGCGGAGCAAAAGGAGGTGACAAGAAAGATAATTGGAGAAGGAAGAGGAAGAGAGCTAAGAAAGGGTTACATAAGAATAACAGAGTAAATCCAAGGCGAAATACGGGGCACGGTAAGACCTAAACCGACCAGGCTCTCCTACTGTTACACGTAGTACTACTCCAAGGCCGTACGCGGCACACGCCACGCAGGAACACATCATACATGTACTGCGACACGGACGTACCTCGCCATTTCCTGTCCACTTTCCTAAATATACACCTTTATTCTCAGATGACAGCCCGAGGTCTTTGAGCCATGAATACTTTGGAGAGTCTATTAGCATTGCAGCTGCTGATGCGTACGTCCTACAACCTAAGAGGCTCCCCTGCTTCAATAGAGGTGCTACTAGCTTCGCACAACGGAGAAACCCAATTGCCATTACTTCGCCGTGACTGGCCAGTGCTAAAAGGGAAAGTGGAAGGGAAATGCTATCCCCCGGGCGTGGAGGGACAGTACCGCAATGTGGCAGCACTAGTGTTAGGATTAGGGTTAGAATCAGGGTTAGGGTTAGGGTTAGGGTTAGGGTTAGCGTTAGGGTTAGGGTTAGGGTTAGGGTTAGGGATATAAGGCCATGTCTAGTACGGAAGTATGACTGTGGAATCTTTCTGTGGAAGATTTGGACTTTGAAGTATACGTCAACTGTATCAGGTGACTGTCCTTCCACGCCCGGGGGATAGCAACACCCGAAGTGGAAAGACTCGCCGTGAACTTTTCAAAGGGGTCACAGCAGATCTAGGTCAACACCGTTTACTAAGAATTACTAAATTTATTTTGTTAAACAATATTTGTAAAACATTAGCATCCATTTGAGTACAACAACGGCAGGTTTTCCGCAAGTATTATAATCTAATCAGCGCAAAAACACGACTTTCTAAGCATATCCGCGATAACAACCGGATCACATGAACTAGCCACGTTGTGTTCATATCCGGGTCAGAATAAGTTCAAAACCACGGCAACAATCTTTTATTTTTAAAATATTAAATTAAAATAAAATATCTATTTAGTTAAAATCAAAATATATAGGATATTTTTCATTATATATAAAAATTTAGTTGCATAACTTAGTTGTACAGTTGCCTAATCTACACAGGTCACATGGCAGTAAATCGTGTACTAGCTTCAATAAATGACAAGAGCGCAGTTGCCATGTATACAACTGCGAGTACGTGTTTGGTTTTGGTTTGGTCTCACTTTTCAACGGCAAACTTCAATTAGGTAAAGTATTATTAAGGTCAAACACCCTTAGGTAACTAACAGCTATAGCCTATAATTTTCTCCGTGTGTTTAAGCGGTACCATAAAACGTGCCTACAGTGAAGTATTTTACACTTAATTTTACAGTGTTACCCTACTGTTACTGTTAGTGTTAGTGTTACTGTTGCTCATAGGGTCTATGTCCCCCAGGGTACTGCCGGAACGTACCCTGGTCACTATTTGATATGGTTTGGGTTCGGGTTAGGGAGTAGGCGTAGGCGACTCCCTAGACTCGTTAGTGGAGTAGGCGAGGTACGGTCCGGCATATTAGATAGTACCAGGGTACGTTCCGGCAGTACCCCGGGGGACATAGACCCTCTCAGCGTTACTGTTAGTGTTAGGTGAATACTGAATAGGGCATGATAAAATCCTAAATGACAAATACGGTCATAATGACAAAGCTGTCGGTGTTCGTCGCTGACACTGATTGTCAACACGACCTCACATTAACAAACACTGATTCGTCACATACCCGGTACACATAGAAATAATTGTTGTTTAGCTATTTAAAAGTCATTCAAAGCTCCATTCCAAACTAACCTTCCAACTTATTCCTCGCTGAGATAAATTCAAATTACATTACGACTGAGCACTACTATTGCTAGTGCTATTACTGCTACTGCTGCTGCTGCTGGTGGTGTAGCTCTAGTAGCTATAGCCCGCGTGCAGTTGCCGCAGGGCTATAGGATCTTCTATTACGGATGCGCTGGACCAACATAGTAACGGTTACTTGCGGCTATAAAATGTCTGTGATAGGCAATTAATGCCTCTTATCCGAAGTGAATATGTCTTAAGTTATATCCGCAACTAAAATTTAACCTTAAAGTGTGTATTGCGAGATTTTTGCTCAGAAAAACTAAATATAGCTGAATATAGTCTCACCTGACAGCAAAAATATCACTGATTACACCAACAATAAAAATACTAAGATTTTATGCAGTTATAGCATTGAAAATTGGATATGAACACATCGTAACAGCAATGCATTTTATCGTGTCGCGACAATGCCTAATGGCAGAATTGGTAAACTTGTATTTGTGTTGGTGATGAATTGAAAACAAGTGCGTGCCTGCACCACCCTGTACTGTGGGTATGGCAGATAAGCGGTGGCGCCACAAGCTAATCTATACTTCGTGTTAGTTCAAGATGACAGAAAACGAATGTTTACAAAAACGATTAGTTTGAAACTGGCAGTTTTCGGTGAATACGAAGGTTCTAAGACATTTTATTGTTACTCTAGACAATTGCTGTTACTCAAGCAATAACGGTAGGTATCATGAAAGCGGGAAAAACACTGGAAAATTCTCGCAATACACGCTTTAACTATCTTTGAAATGGTCTGCTTGCGGTATTTCTTGTAAACGAACATTCGATTTGCGAACTTCAAACGGCCATGTTGCCAGTCAGCGGGTTGGTCCCCATCATTCGTAATAGAATGTCCTATAGCCCTGCGGCAACTGTACGCGAGCTATAGTACTAGAGCTACTAGTGGTGCTGCTGCTGCTGCTGCTGCTGCTGCTACTGCTACTGCTACTGCTGCTACTTCTACTGCTGCTACTGCTGCTACTGCTGCTACTGCTACTGCTGCCACGTCTACTGCTGCTGCTACTGCTAATGTTACTGCTGCTACTATTGCTCTTGCCCTTACTATACTATTGCCAAATTATGCTTGTGTTTTCCGCATGTAGCTTAGACAAGATACATCAACTCGTCGAGAGCGACCGCAACTCGCGCGATGTCAACGTCGGCGCGCAATGCGGACACCGCGGACTTTCACTACGAGCAGCTCGACCAGAGCATCGGCGAACTCGACCTTGAAGGCGACATCATGGTGCCGGGCGCCGCGAGCTCGGTCGCCGCCGCCGCCGACGACCTCAGCGACCCCGACACGCTCGACGAGCCCGTGCTGGCGACGGTCGTGCGCGACCTGCGCGCGGTTGGCGTCAAGTTCCGGCACGTGTTCTACCCGCGCCGCAACCCGGCGCTGCTGCGCGACTGGGACCTGTGGGGCCCGCTGCTGCTCTGCATCACGCTAGCCGCGTTGCTCCGCCGCGACGGCAGCGACGACGGCGGCGGCGGCGGCGACGCTCACTTCGCCGAGGTGTTCGTCGTCATCTGGCTCGGCGCCGTCGTCGTGACGCTCAACTCGAAGCTGATCGGCGGCGCGATCTCGTTCCTGCAGAGCGTCTGCGTGCTCGGCTACTGCCTGCTGCCGCTGACGATCGCCGCCGTCGTCTGCCAGCTCGTGCTGCTGCTGGGGAGCAGCGAGAGCGTGGGACTGTTCGCGACGCGCGTCATCGTCGTCGCCGCCGCGTTCGCGTGGTCCACGTTCGCGTCGACGGCCTTCGTCGCCGACAGCCAGCCGCCGCGTCGCAAGGTGCTCGCCTGCTATCCGATATTCCTCTTCTACTTTGTCGTCGGCTGGCTGATCCTGTCGCACGCGCGCTGACGTCCACGTTTTGTATTCCGAACAAGGGACGAGACGGGGCGCACGCGCGCTCATGCGCTGCCGTCCGCGTTTCGTATTCGGAACAAGGGACGAGGCAGGGTCGTCGCCGTCGTCGAACACAAACATTCTGCCACGTGTGCGCGACGTTTCGAAGATGGCGCGCGTGCGTTACGTTTCAGAGATGGCGTGCGGGCGATCAATTGCAAGACGTGGCGGAGAGGGTTCGGGTGCACGTTGTTTTATCAAGATGTTATTTTAAGATATTTTTGGGTAAACAAGGGATGTATATGATTGTACCTAGTTGTTAACGTATATTGTGCCGGTGATGAGGCCTGTAAATTATTAATGCAGCATTTATGACAATTTATTTGGTAACCAAGAATGCAGTATGTATAATATTGATTAAATTTTATTTTCAACTTGCATTGACACATGTAATCAGGTACATAGGTGATGAACTATTCTGCATATTTTGATTTGAAGTCGATTTGAGGAGCGGTTGAGTAAATCCGTTCATGATTGAAGAAAATGACAATCTATGGTGTGTACTATGTACACAACTAGGCTACACACCTTACGCACCTTCCATGTATCTAGGTATATATTCCAACTGTGTAACACCGTTTGAACGAAAACAATGATTTCCGAAATTGGAGACCATACAAATGTAAACCGCTTTCTGATTGTATGTGACAAAGAAACTTAACAATCCTCGCAAGATTCCATAAGCAAGAATAAAAAGCGATCTATTTACAAGACGCCCCCTGCATGTACATAACCGTCATTCCGACGTCACTGCATATAGCAACAACACAGACGAACTACTACCTAAAGCAATCACTTGATGCAATGCATGTCTACTACATTATAGATATACCATCTAGTACACATGCAAACACTAGGTAACCGACTGGACCTTAGTCCACAAAAATACTTTACAAAAACATCATGTAACACACTGATAGCTCAGAAGCAGCGACGTACGTAAACGCGTGAAAACCTGCAGACTCGTCAGTTTCACATTTGTCTCCGACTTGCAGCCGCTAGCTAAACATTAGCATTTCGATTTGAATATACGTGCGTAAATCTACACACTGGTATCGAATTAATTTTAATCGTCGAACCGCCCTCGCTGAACCGGCTGATTATAAGATGGCGCCCCGACGTCGTGCGGCGACGACATGGCTTACGCGCCCGCTGCTGCCCTTCCACTTCACCAGATGGCGCCTTGGTATCTTGCGGCGACGACACGGTGTACGCTGTCGCTCTCCCGCCTCACCAGAAGGGACACCAGCCGATGTAGCACTGGCAGAGGTTCTCGTGCGACGTTGCCTGCCGTATGAGCAGCTCCACCTGTGTCTGTACGTCCACCGCCTGCTCGCTCGTGAAGTCTCTACCTGCAAGGTACGCACACGCAGTCGTCAGTCACCGTTACAAATCCCACGCGCTAAACGTATGTGTCTAGACGTGTATACACGCGGGAACGACACGTGCATACACGCGGGAACGACACGTGCATACACGCGGGAACGTACGTGCATACACGCGGGAACGACACGTGCATACACGCGGGAACGACACGTGCATACACAAGCGCGAACGACACGTGCATATACGCGGGAACGTACGTGCGTACACCCGCGCACGTTTGTGCGTACACGTTCGAACATGCGTACATACATGCACAAACGTGCGCGCATACACGCACAAACGTGCGTGGGTGGGTGTACACAAATGTATATGCGCGTGCCCGACTCTTACGTGCAACAGTACACAGAACTCTTCACATGCTCGTCATTAACTCTCGCACGACGATTATTTCCAGACAAAAAACCATCGACAAAAGACATTAAAAAACATTTAGGGGCGCAAGATCAACTGTTACGTCATAGCAACATCACGTCAGGGGTTAATAATGACATTGATAATTTGTCATTTACTCAAATATTTGTCATTATTCACCCATGATCACGTGTAATAGTAAACGCAGGGGCGTGACCGTAGGCTGGGCGCGACCATGGGCGGGGCGGGGCAGCGCGGGGCGCGACCATGGCATCGTGGGCAGGGGGCGGCTGTTGGGGCTCGCTTACCGGTCAGCTTGTCGCGGACCCTGTTGATGATGCTGAGAGCCTTCTTGTTGAGTTCCTCCGGTTGCTCGACGTCTCCACCGTCCGGGTAGTAGGGACTCGCATCGGCGACGTGCGGCTGCAGCGGCTTCTCCAGCTCAAAGCTGCCCGGAATGTCTGCAAGCGTAAAGGAAGGGTCTCTCTCGTCAGTAGTTCAATGTCAATAAGTCATCATAATCTATAAGCAATCTAATAACTAACAGAAAAGTGGTCGTGGTAATGATGAGAGTAATTAAATTTCCGCCGTCAAGTAACATGGATCGACGGGACGCGATGATTCAAGGCGGACGGCCGCTAATATAACACTCCTTGACGCACTACGTCGACTCCTCTCTCCATGCGTCTGCATGTCGCGGCGCTTGCATCGTACGCATCGCGGTGCACGTATCGGCGTGCTCAGAGCACCCTTATATATATATATATAATATAATAATTGACACTTCATAGTGAATCCCCACCATGCACCTTAATATTCTATAATACAATATATATATATATGTGTGTATATACCTATATATATATAATATAATACAATATACAATATATATATAATGACATGACATATAACATAACAATTGTGACTTTGTGGCGAATCCCCCGCTCACCTCGCTCCTGCGAGCCGCCGGCCATCGACGAACCCTCAGACTTCGGCTCGCACGACCTCTTGCCCTTGAGCGCGCCGCCGGCGTCCATGAGGCGCCAGTTGAGCAGCGGGTCGTAGACAAACGCCTCGAGCACTGCCATGACACTGTCCTTGTTGTGTCGCATCACCTGCATCACCTTCTCACACGTCATGCGGTAGTTGCCGTCGATGCCCGTCACCTGCGGTCGTCACGGCAACAGTAAACGACGGTGAGGTCGCCACGGCAACATTAAACGATGGTGAGGTCGCCACAGCAATGGTAAGCGTGCGGTTGCCATGGCAACGGTAAATGACGGTTCGCATGTGGTTACCACGGCGACAGTAGATAGAAGATACAGGAACAACACCTCACGATGAGAGAAATGTTGAAAATAACCGATAACAGAGACATAACACATGTAAATGAATAAAGACAAACAAGCGGAAAAGACCTCATAAATGAACAACTTTCGGAAACTTATAGTTACCCATCTTTCAAAAATAAATTATTCCAAAAGATATAAGAAGATTAGGATTCCGTCTTTAGAGATTTCATCTTCTATGGTGACATGCACGTCCACAACAGTTCCACTAACCAGTGTGACACGTGCATCGTCATATAGCGGTACGTACCTCGATAGCATCAAGAGCGTATAAAGAAGGAGAGCATACAACAGTGAAATGCTGAAACCATGTTGCAGTATTAGTCGAATTAATAAACTTTCCCCGTTTTATTTCGACGATTCTTTGCAGTATTATTGATCAGCTGTCCTACCTTGCTAATATAAAACAAACCACACGTCCCTACGATGCCCCTACGCTGAGATAATGAGCTATGAAAATCTGGTATTTTTGCCGAAAACCGACTCGAGATCAGTGTTTACTGAGAATGTCTCTCGCTTTGAGATAACTTCAGGAAACCTCGCGTGTTTCCGTCAATGACTGACAAATGGAATGAATAACGTCTGTTATTGATTGCCATAGTGATGACCCTCACCTGTGCCCACCTCACGCTCGATGTATAGTAAACTCTGTAGTACTGACGTGAGTCAGCGCTACCATGGTGCTACACAGCGGCGACCGGAAGCAATACACTGGCCACAAAGCGAAAGACAGCTTTTCACCGCTCATTATCTCAGCGTAGGAGCATCGTAGGGACATGCGGTTTGTTTTATATTAACAAGGTAGGACAGCTGATCAATAATACTGTAAAGAATCGTCAAAATAAAACGGGGAAAGTTTATTAATTCGACTAATACTGCAACATGGTTTCAGCATTTCACCGTTGTACGCTCTCCTTCTTTATACGCTCTTGATAGCATCAGTGAGCGTGCGCGCGTGTCGCGTAACAGTACGGAGCTCTATGGTGTTGGTAAGCATGCGCGTCGCGTAACAGTACGTACCTCCATGGCGTTGGTGAGCATGCGCGTGAGCCGGAACGGGATCTTCTCGGGAAACTTCTCGCGCGTCATCGCGACCTCAAAGCAGTCGCCAAAGTCGATGTGCAGGATCTTGCCGCTGAGCCGGTCCAGCATGAGGTTAGACGGGTGGCGGTCGCCGAGTCCGAGCACGTAGCCCACCATCGACATGACGGCAAGCGAGCGCGTGTAGTTGGTGCGCCGGTCGAACCACACCTGCCCAGACGTTCGTTAGCTACTTAATTGGTCAGAGATGCAGGTTAACTAATTAATTGGTCAGAGATGCTCGTTAAGTAATTAGTTGGTTAGAGATGCTCTTTAAATAATTAGTTGGTCAGAGATGCTCGTTAACTAATTGGTCAGAGATGCTCGTAACTAATTAATTTGTCAGAGATGCTCGTTAACTAATTAATTGGTCAGTGATGCTCGTTAACTAATTAATTGGACAGAGATGCTCCCAACTAATTAATTGGTCAAGCGATTAATTAATGGTTGGATTCGGTTCAGAGCTGCGATTTTTCTACCACGGTCAGATAATCCAGGTCGTCACCTACGGTATTCTCGTTAATTATGTGTTGATTAATTAAATAAGGATTCACTTCAGAGCTGGTTCAACCACAGCAGCTAGGCCAGGTCGTCACCTTTAGCATTCTCGTTAGTTAATTAGGGTAATTAATTTATGGGGATTCACCTCAGAGCTGGGACTCTTCAACCACAGAAGCTTGGCCAGGTCGTCTCCTTTGGTATTTTCTACGGCGTGTTCAAACACCTCTACCTTCTGCATGACCGTCAGGTGGTCGTAGTCTGGCGCCATCTGTTGGAACGTTTCATCAACAACGATCACATAAACTCACAAAAATAAATTCTGTTTTTTGAATTGTTTCTCAATTGAATCTTTGTTTTTGTTTTTGACCCAAGTGAATTTACACCCTTGCACTAAGCGCGAAGACTATGCACGGTGCAATGCCACACCCACCCCACGCAGGATGCCACACTCACACAGAGCCAGCAGGACTCCCCACCTACACCTCGACTGGAAGCACCCACCTACACCTCAACTGGGAGCACCGGTGCGGGTCCAGGGCGGGGCAGGGCTGGGTGGGTGAGCTTGCAGGTGAGGGGGTGTGCGGGCGGGGGGGCAGGTGCGGGGTGGCAGTGGAGGGTGTGCGGGGCTAGGGCTGGGGTGATGGGGCTGGCTGCGGCAGGCCAGGGCTGGGGTAGGGGGCTGCCGCCAGGGCGCCGGACTGAGGCTGGGGTGCGGGGTGGCTGCAGGTGAAGGTGCAGGTAGGGCGGGGCAGGGCTGGGTGGGGGTGGCTGAGGTGAGAGGGCTGCAGGCAGAGCTGGGGGGGGCGGGCTTTGGCAGGCCAGGGCTGGGTTAGGGTGCAGGGCAGGGCGGGGCGGCGCTTGGGCGGTGGGGTGCGCGGCACGCGGGGTGGGGTGGAGGCTGGATGCAGGTGAGGGGTGCAGGCGGGGCGTGGCGGGGGTTATTCTGGGGAGGGGGGTGGTCTGTCTGCCTCGGTCTCGCTTGCTGTCTCTTTGGTCATCCTCTCTCTCGTCTTATTCAGCTATCTCTGTCTGTATGTCCTATCTCTCTCTCATGTCTCGCGCAGTTCTCTCTCTCTCTGATGCTCTCTCTCTCTCTCTCCTCTCTCTCATCTGCTCCCCTCTCCCTCTCCCTCTGCTCTCTCTCTCGCTCTCCCATCTTCTCTCTCTCCGCTCCTCGCTCTCGCTCTCATCTCTCTCTCCTATGTCTCTCATCTCTTCCTCTCTCTCTCTCTCTCGTCTCTCTCTCTCTCTGCTCTATCTCAGCC